CTCTTATCTAGATGGGTTGACTCAAATGTAAATGGGTTCAGTGTACCTTATACCTTTTAAATAAAATTTTTTTATTTATAGAATTAAAAAAAAAAAAAGAAAAAAAAAAGAAGAAAAACCTTTCATCACTCAAAAAATTGTTGTTTATAGTACTTTATTTTCAAGACAATGCATGTATTGTCTCGTTTTTTTCTTTTGTCATCTTTTTAAGTGGGACACATAATTGTTTGTCTTTATACTTGCTTTTCGTTTTATTGTACAATTTAAACTCTTGATAGCTAAGGTGATTTAAAATTGGTTCAGAATCTAACAAAAATTACTGTCAATCCCAATTCCATTGATAATGGATATATTGTTGCTATCTTCGTTTAATAATCAACCAAATCAAGCCTATTGATCATCCCTAGAATGAAAACAACTACAAGTATAGAAACAAATATGCTAATATCTTAACTTCGATCATTCAAAAGTTAGTTGTTTACATTATTTTTATTTTTGAGAAGCTGTGCATGCATTGTTTCATTTTTTATTAGAATATATATCTTAATTTTTCACAATCACATATATCAATATCCAAATTTCTTCACCCAAAAATTGCTGGATACATTTTTTTTATACCCAAGATATAGCATTTGTAGTCTTATTAACACTAAAAAATAAAACAGATTATGTGGAATCAAGTACTCAATTGATCAAAGATGGAGAGAGTTTATAATAAAGAGAGAATTGAGAAAATTAATAATCCCCTTCCTAAGTCTAATATTGGGATATTTATAAGATATTATATAAAGTCACCCTAACATTACAATTTTACTTAAGTTGGTGTTTGAGTATTCTCATTCTAAAAGAATTTAATTTATCTAATCTTGATAGAACTCTTTTAGGATACATCCATGTGTCCTCATTTTCATAAGACTCAATTTAGGGTATAACAAGTCCCATTTTTTGTTTTGTCATCTTTTTATATAGAACACATAATTGTTTACCTTTAAATATATTTTTAATCTTAATAATCCAATATCCAATCTCTAGTAAGGCAATTTGCTATTAGGAGGGAATGAAATAAAAATCTACAATAATGGATAAACTTATCAACTTGTTCTCTTGATCATACTTAGAAAAAAAAAAACACAATTACAGAAACGAATGGACCAATGGCCAAACTTTCATCACCCAAACCTTCTCTTGTTTGGTTGTGTAAATTCATGGAGGATATGATCTGCATCCCATATATGGTGGGGACTCTCAACAGTAATGCATTGTGATATAGAACTATGTGTTGATTCATATGTAAATGGGTTGACTCTAATGTTAATGGGTGGCATATCCTTAAACCATTTGAATAAAATTTTCTTTATATATAGAAAAAAGAAAAAGAAAAAGAAAAAGAAACACCTTCCACCACTCTAGAAATTGTTGTTTACATTTATTCTATCTTCGAGATGCTACGTGTATTGTCTCTCTTTTTTTTATCTTTTTTAAAGGGTGTGGTTATAATCACCTATTAAATTATCCAAACTATACAATATAATTTAAAAAATATTAATTTTATTTGATTTTGTTGTTAAAAATAAATAATAA